TCGCGGCCCCGGTAGACCTTGGACACGAAGCAGCCGCCTAAGAAGGGCGGTTCCCGACGTCCGGAGGCGGCGCGCGCCTCTCGTCCGCGAGCCGCTCGCGTCGGAGTCGCGTCGCGCGTTTCGCGGCCCCGGCGGCCGCCGCGCGCGAGGATCGCCTCCGCCATGGACCAGGCCTTGCGCACGAGCTCGTTCTGCAGGTGCTCGTCGACGTCGTTGAGGCCGATGACGTCCGGCGCGCCGTCGCAGAGCACGACCTAGGATCGGCGCGCGTCGCGCGGGACCGCGGCGGACGTCGAAACACGCCGCGCCGCGCGTCCGCGCCGCCGCCGAGCGCGTCGACGACCTCGCGCGCCGTCGCCGCGGCCGTGATGTCGCCGAGCACCATCTCGACGCCGGCGATGGGCGCGATGGGCTTGAGGTCGACGGCGACGACTCTCGCGCCGGGCCGGCGCTCCGCGACGACCTGCGACCAGCCGCCCGGCGCCGCGCACAGGTCCGCGACGCGGAGTCTGTCGTGCGTCGTCGCGGTGGAGAGGATGCCGAGCGTCGCGTCGAGCTGCAGCAGCTTGAAGGCCGCGCGCGCGCGGTAGTTCGACGTCTTCGCGAGGCGGTAGTAGATGTCGCGCTTGTCTCGGGAGGTGCGGCCCATATTGTGCGCTCCTTCTTCTTCGAGGGCTGTGCGGCTGTGCGTGCACAGCAGGGCTTGCTTGCACGGCTGCTAAGCTTTGCTATTACGGAGAGCCATGTGCTCTCCGGAGTTAGTGAAGCGTGGGCATCACCACACTGGGCATCACACACCTGAGCATCACACTCACACCTGGGCATCACACCAGAACTGGGCATCACACTCGCCCGAGGTAGTCTGTACTAGATGGCTACTACATCATCGGTAGGCGACGTCCCAGTGGATTTCCAACTGCCGCGGCAGGGAGGCGCGCGGCGCGGCGGTCACGATGACGGTGGCGACGACCTGGTAGTCCTTCCGCCAGGGGACGCCACCCCGCACGCGGCGCGCGAGGCGTCGCAGCTGCGGCGATCGTTCTTCAAATCGGACCTCGGCGCGACGACCGCGATGAGCAGGTGCGAGCATTCGTTAAAACTCTCAAAAAAAGAAGTCATCGCCATTGGGCCGCCCCGCGCCCCTGCGCGCGAGAACCCCGCCGGCATAGACGCCGG